CCACCGTTAAATTTGCATTTTAAGGACTCAAAAAATGCTGCATTTTCATATTCACTGCGCATAGTTTTGTGGTCGTCTAAACACAGCATTATAGTAATCAGTGAGCCCATACACACAGCTGCACATACCTGCAAAAATGTGTGCTATGTTTAGCTGCACAGAAAAAAAGTACAACACCTCTGTGTCCAGGACTGCACAGATCTGCAGATTTTACATGCAAACGTGCATAAATGTGCATAAACACACATACATGCATACATGTGTACAAGCGTAGAAGAATTGTACGCACCTAAACACTGTACTTTAGATGCATATTTTTTACAGGATCTTTTTTCAGTTCTGCCAGCAAGAAGCTGTGTTCATGAAGAAAATATGCATATGCTCATGGGAATGGACCCAGGGCTCATTCACATGAGCAGAAAAAAAAAAAAGCTGCATTTAGATGTGTACAGTAGATAGTTTTGTATGCATCTAAACGGAGCACTATAGTAATCAATGAGCTCATACACACAGCTGCACCTACCTGTGAAAATGTGTGCCATGTCTAGCTGTGTAGAAAAAAGTAGGACACCTCTCCGCATCTAGGGCCACACAGATCTGCAGATTTTTTATTTTACTTGCAAACGCGCAAATATGTGCATAAATTCTTACATCCGTACAAGCGTAGTAGAAGAATTGTACGTACCTAAATGCATCTAAAAGTGAATACTTTAAGGCTCCGTGCACACTGGGCATTTTAATAACGCTGGTAGCGTTAGCTGTGTAAAAGTTTTTCAGCGTTTTTGCATTAGTGTTCTCCTGATTTTTTTATCAAACGAAATAGCAAAAAAAATAAATTTTGGGTAATTTTAGCTGTACATTTCTTACTACCACCACCAAAGAACAAATCAAAACAAATTTTCCCTCTCCTAACAATTGCAGTGATACCACATATCTGTATGTTATTTGTTGCTTGCACCCATAGTCAGGCCAAGAAACAATAGTGCTCTTTTTTTTTTTTGCTTTTGCGTTTTTTTTTTTTAGCATTTTTTTACACACAAGAAAAAAAAATTTGCTCAAAAAAATCCAAAAACGCAGGTTTGCTGCGCTTTACCTCATTTTGCCGTGTATTACCGCGTTTTTTAGCGTTAAAGCGCTTTTACAGCTAAAAATTCCTCTAGAAACCCACTAGTTCTGGGTTTTTTTTTCCAGCCAAAAAACGCCCCTGCCAAAAAATACTGATTACAGCCTATGTGTGCATGGACACCTAGGATAACATGCTGGGAGTTTACTGGCTGTAGAAAAAACCGCCAAAAGCCAAAAACATCAGCTGTAGAAATGTCCAGTGTGCATGAGGACTAAATGAGGATTTTCTACAGGATCTTCTACCAGTTCTGCCAGCAAGAAGCTGCATTCTTCCAGAAAATATGCATATGCTCATGTGAATTCACCAAGGGCCCATTCACATGGGCAGAAAAACAAAAACTGTGTGTTTAGATGTGTACAGCAGATAGTTTTGTATGCATCTAAATGCAGTGCTATAGTAATCAATGAGCTCATACACACAGTTACACCTATCTGCGAAAATGTGTGCCATATTTAGCTGCCCGGAAAAATAAAAGATACCTATGTGCCCAGGGCCAAACAGATCTGCATATTTTACGTGCGAGCACAAGTACAAGTCTAATCATTAATTTGAATGAAAACCTGAATGCTGTACGCATCTAAATGCATCTACTGTAAATGTGAATACTTTAGATGCATATTTTCTGCAGGATCTTCTGCCAGCAAGAAGCTGTGTTCATGCAGAAAATAGGCATATGCTCATGTAAATGGACCCAGGGCTCATTCACATGGGCAGAAAAAAATGCTGTGTTTAGATGTGTACAGCAGATAGTTTTGTATGCATCAAAATGCAGCGGTATAGTAATCAATGAGTTCATACACACAGCTGCACCTACCTGCGCAGAAAAAAAGTAGGACACCTCTGCATGCAGTACCACACAGATCTACAGATTTTACACATGAACAAGCATAAATGTGCATAAGTGCACATAAATACGTACATGCACACAAGTGTAGTCATTGTAGTCCAGAGATGGGTAACAAAAATGGTAAGGTGAAAGGTCTGGGGCAGGGGTGGGCAACTGTGGCCCTCCAGCTGTTGGTGAACTACAAGCCCCATCATAATAATATATCAACCAACTTAAATACTCTCAAAAGTCCACAAAAAAATTGTCCAAAATCTCAAGCAAAATGTCCAAAAATAAAGTCCAAATCTTGATAGATAAGTGCTCACTAATCCAAAGTGAAGATGAATGCCAGAAGTTCTTCATATACCTCAAAAAAGAAGAAAAAATCTAGACATAGTGTATTATCTTAGGTAACAAAAATAGTGCCACACGTGCAGCATGCAAAAACACTATGGTGTCACAGCAATCGTGTCAAGATTATACCCAATATATATCACTGCAAACCATATACAAAGTGCATAATTACCCTAATTCCAGTATTTATCAGCATGTACACAAAATAGGCATGGAATATCCTCTTGTTCAGCCATTTCCCTTAGACCTCACAAATAGACCAAGGATCAGTATATGAATTAAAGTAAAAAATAGATTTTATTATATCCACTTACATTAAAAACTAGAACAACCGGCTTCCTGGTCCTGATGATATGTACACAGCCATTATGTGGTAAACCGCCACAGATCTATTCCAGCACTGGTCCTTTAGCTTGAAAAAGCACCAGGGGTGCACTAAGAGTCCCAGTACAGCCAAACAACATACGCTCCAGACTCCAAAATGGCCGCCACGGCACTTCCGGGAACGACAATTCGTCACTTACGTCACGTGCCCTGGACGCGGACGCGTTTCGTCACTTCCGGACTTTGTCAACAAGGATCCAAAACTCCACGTAATCCCAAGGGGTTCACATACTTTTTCTTGCAACTGTAAATGTGAATACTTTAGATGCATATTTTCTGCAGGATCTTCTGCCACCCCTGGTGCTTTTTCATGCTAAAGGACCAGTGCTGGGATAGATCTGTGGCAGTTTACCACATAATGGCTGTGTACATATCATTAGGACCAGGAAGCCGGTTGTACTAGTTTTTAATGTAAGTGGATATAATAAAATCTATTTTTTACTTTGATTTGCTTGAGATTTTGGACAATTTTTTTGTGGACTTTTGAGAGTATTTAAGTCGGCTGATATATTATTATTTTGGTACTTCAGGGGAAGGATAGTGTCACGACTTGAAGGGATATTGTATTCACTATTTAATAATTTTTTTTGTGTGTGTGCTGACTTTGTTATTTCACAAGCCCCATCATGCCTCTGCCTTTGGGAGTCATGCTTGTAACTGTCAGTTTTGCAATGCCTCATGAGACTTGTAGTTCTACAACAGCTGGAGGGCCACAGTTGCCCACCCCTGATCTGGGGGATAAAACATATCAAGAGTGACCTCAGGAAATTATGCAGGCCATACATGGGTTAAATTCTGAAACTACTTTCTTTCGAAAATCGTAACTAAGAATTTTCTATCGAGTTTTGCACCATTAGTGGGCTGTAGCATCATCTGATTTTCGTGCTGCCATCGAACTGGACAATGTTGGAAATTTTTTTGAAAAATGAAAACATTTCTAATCATTAATGGGAGAATTGTACGAGAAATATCATTGAAAAAAAAAAAACATGAGCTGTAACCTGGAAAGAAAAGATTGGCAGCCACGAAAATTATTTTCTGTAGCAACATAAAGTGAAATTGAAGACTTAGTTGTTTGAATTTCGAAATCAATGGTGGCGCCATTGGATTTCAAAACACACAAAATTTCTGATTTTCTAAAGAAAATTCCTTCAGAATATATGTACAATCTGGATGAAAGAAGGGAAAGGGGAGATGTGATTAAAAGCTTTAAATATATTAAAGGGGTGAATAAGGTTCAGGAGGGTAGGATTTTCAATTTCAAACCAAAATCCAGGACACACGGACATGACCTCAAACTAACAGGAGGAACGTTCAAAACTAAGGCTGGCCATACACTATACAATTTTCTTACAATTTTCTGTCCAATTCCTTTAGATTAAGGCTGCATTCACACTTGAGCGTTTTTTTAGCTTGAAGCTAGAAGCTGTAAAAACGCTCAAACTTAAAAAATCAGTTGTTCTCTATGGTGCCTGTTCACGCAATCAGGTGTGAACGGGGACCATAGAGAACAATTGATTTTTTTTAAGTTTGAGCTTTGATGGCTACAGCGCGATTGTCCAGTTCTGGGAGGGCGTCATAGGACATCCTCCCAGAACGCGCCCTCCTGCGTGCCCCCAGTGCTGGAGTTGCCGGTTATCAGCAGTACTTTCCTCACGCTTTCACAGCGTACTACCGATAACCAGCAAATGTCACAGAGCAGATCAGCACTGATGGTCAGTGCCTTGATGATCAGTGCCCAGCAGTGCCACCCACCAGTGCCCAATAGTGATACCCATCAGTGCTGCCCAGCAGTTGTGCCCATCATTGGCCAGTCAGTGCCGCCTAGCAGTGCTGCCAGTCAGTGCCGCCTATCAGTGTCCATCATGCCACCTATCAGTGCAGCGTCATCAGTTCCTCCTCATCAATGCCCACTAGTGCCACCTTATCAGTGCTGCCTATCCGTGCCACCTCATCAGTGCCTATCAGTTCTGCCTATCAGTGCCCATCAGTGCAGCCCGATCAACGCACATCAGTGAAGGAGAAAAATTACCTGTTTGCAAAATTTTATAATACAAAGAAAAACTTTTTTTTTCAAATTTTTTGCTCTTTTTTTGTTTATAGCGCAAAAAATAAAACAGCCAGCGGTTATTAAATACCACCAAAAGAAAGCTCTATTTGTGTGAAAAAAATAATAAAAATTTCATATGGGTACAGTGTTGCATGATCGCGCAATTTTCATTCGGAGTATGAGAGAGCTGAAAGCTGAAAATTGGCCTGGACATGAAGGGGGTAAATGTGCCCGGTAGGTAAGTGGTTAAGGGGCCCCATCAGGGGTGGACTAACCATTTGCAAACTCGGGCACTGCCCAAGGGCCGGCATCAGTAGGGGGCCCCATGAGAAGCCCCTGGTACCTTTTTCATAGGCTTTTTTGAGTTTGGGCAAGGACTCAGGGGCCCCATGATCTCCTATTGCCCGGGGGCCCCATGAGTTGTCAGTCTGCCCCTGGGCCCCATTATACCTCTAAACCTATGTTCTTTGCCAGTCATGTGTACCTTTCTTACAAGATCTGAAGATTTTATGTATGCGCATAAATGCAAATGCTTTGGGTGTATATTTTACGCAGGATGTTTCTTCAGGGCCATGCAGAAAATACACATCTAAACGCAGCATTTTTCCTGCTGGTGTGAATGAGCCCTCATTTTATAATGGGCAGATTTGCTCATGAGAAATGCCTAGCTGCTGCAAAGCATGGTGTGTGGTGAGAAGCCATCCTCTGTAGGTGCAATAGGAAGGACAGCCCTGGTCATAGTATGCAGTAAGGTCACCTTGAATAGAGAGCATGGCAGAGGTTGCGATGACAGGTACACACGATCCGATCCGGAGTCACACCCCCTCCCAATGACCCTGGATTTTCCAGACTCCAGTCCTCGGGCTCCATCAGTCCGGGATTTCCTTGACATCACCACATCTCTGTCCTGGTAGCCCCTGGAGGCAGGTACTGAGGCTGCACACCATGGACTGAATAGGGAATGCCGCATCAGCACCAGCAGCATCAACAGAACAACAGGAGCCCCTCGGAGCGGCCGCTGACAGCAGGAGCAGGGGGTCGGGGCAGGCTGGTGCCGGCGTGCGTTGCCTAGTGACAGGTGGATGTCAGCCGGGAGAACTGGGAGTGGCACCGCCTGGCTTTGTATTCCCACACACCGGCACCTCGCACTCTGCCAGGGATCGGGAACGGCTCGGACTGGGAAATGCTGTATTGGCTGAAGGAAGAGGAGATGTCACACCACGAGCTCACCCAGAGGCTGGCCACTGTCATCACCCATGTCGGTAAGAGCTGGGCGAGGCAGGAGACAGACAGAGATAGACAGAGCAGGAGATCGAGAGCAGGAGGACAGCATCCTTCTGGAATCACACCCAGGATGGATGGATGGATGGGGCTTAGCATCCCCAGACATGACATGGATGGATGTACTGTGTGATGGATGCATAGGACTTCCATTCATTTACATCATCCAATTTAAAAAAAGAAAATCAGCAAATTAAATGGTTCTATCATTGTGATGTGGGAGGTGTGCAAAATATAGATCTGTCATATATTGGTACAGATATGTCACATATTGATACAGATATGACATCAATCGATATAGATCTGTCATATATTTGGTATAGATCTGTCATATATTGATAAAGATATGTCACATATTGATATAGATATGCCATATTGATATATAGATATGTTATATTGATATTGATATAGATATCTCATATTGATATAGATCTGTCACATATTGGTATAGATCTGTCAGATATTGGTATAGATCTGTCATATTGGTATAGATCTGTCACATATTGGTATAGATCTGTCACATATTGATATAGATATAGATATGTTATATATTGATATAGATATCTCATATTGATATAGATCTGTCAGATATTGGTATAGATTTGTCACATATTGGTATAGATCTGTCACATATTGATATAGATATGTCACATATTGGTATAGATCAGGGGCGGACTGACCATTTGGAAACTGCCCGAGGGCCCGGGGTCAGTAGGGGGCCCCATGCAATACCCTTAGTACCTTTTTCATAGGCGTTTTTGAGTTTGGGCAAGGGCTCAGGGGCCCCATGATCCCCTATTGCCTGGGGGCCCCATGAGTTGTCAGTCTACCCCTGGTATAGATATGTTATATTGACATGGATCTGTCATATATTGATATAAATGTGTAACATATTGATATAGATATGTCATATTGATATATATTTGTCACATATTGATATATATATGTCACATATTGGTATAGACCTGTCATATATTGATATAGATCTGTCACATATTGATATAGATATGTAATATATTGTTATAGATATGTAATATTGATATAGATCTGTCACATTGATATAGATATGTCATATTGATTGATATGTCATATTGATATAGATATGTCTAGAGGCGGACTGTCCATTTGGAAACTCGGGCACTGCCCGAGGGGCCCGGGGTCAGTAGGGGGCCCCATGAGATGCCCCTGGTACCTTTTTCATAGGGTTTTTTGAGTTTGGGCAAGGACACAGGGCCCCATGATCCCCTATTGCCCGGGAGCCCCATGAGTTGTCAGTCCGCCCCTGGATATGTCACATATTGGTATAGATGTGTCATATTGTTATAGATATGTCATATTGATATAGATATGTCATATATTGGTATAGATATGACATATATTGATCATGTGTTCTATAGCATGTTGATTATTTTAATGAATTTATTTTGATGCTTGATGTTTAATTTTAAATTCATTTTGGTTGACCTCTCCTGGAATCTTAATGCTCCATTTCAGCTGCTGCTAATGATTTCAGGATATGAAGTAGTATTCATCCATGGTCAGGACTTCACCTCTTCACCTGTGCTGAAACACAATTTACTGGTGCAGGTGCACACATTAACTAATCAGTTTCTAGCTGTAGATTGTTCAGTTTATCTTTGAAAATGAAAGCTAGTAGCTGATTGGTTGCCATGCACAGCTGCTCCAGTTTCTGTTTGGATGACTTTGGTTGGGAATGGCCAGCCATGGCTCCAGCAGTCCATTGTGTGATCATGAGATAACAGAGGTGATGTCAATGACTGATCACTGAGTCATGAGTCTCTATCGGGAGTCTCTGTAGTGGGAGAAATTTCCGGAAGTTGTACTGGCAGCAGGAAATGGAAACTTAAAGCAAATTTCCAAATTGGGATAACACCTGCTTTATATTTGTTATATATTCCTGTTTACAATGCATGTAACCTAAAATTAAATTAAAATTTAAAAGAGAAGCATGTATTTTTTTTTTGTAGAAATCATGCTTACCTGGGTGGATTCAGCACCGGTCTGATGCTGTATCTGTCCCCCACTTGCTCTAAGACTGAGAACGGAGCAATCACATGAACGCTGATCACTCAGTTCTCAGTGCTCCTGGTGACTGTCAGTTACCACTTTCTGCTCTGCCCTCCGCTTGCTCACTGGAGTGCAGCAAACTGAGCCGAAAGTGGTAGTGGGAGGGTACCTGTCAAAAACAGGTATCCGCTCCCCCCCCCCCCCCCCCCAAAAGGTGCAAAATATGACAGTGGAGGGAGGAGGCAAACAAGCAGAGCTTTCACTTTTGAGTACAACTCTGCTTTAAAGTGGAGGCCGGTTTTTATAACTTTTGTGTAATAGAATTGTTTCTTCTGTTCTTCTGCATTTGTCATTGAACATGACAATGTTGGCAACACTGTATATATTTCATCACATGACAACTTTATTGAAGGCCAATTTCTGAAGGACACCTCTACTGAGATAATATGCCCATCGCTGATCTCGTCCTGTGAAAATGCCCATTTTCTGGCTTCCACAGTTAATGAGTCACTGACTTGGGACAAGGATGCAGGGGTTAGAACGTCACTTTGACATCATGTGATGCAAATTTGTCCAGGTCTGTGGCTTAGAAAGCTTTGAAGTATTCCAGGAAATTAGCATTTTTCAAATTAGGTCAGCAGTTTACATGCATATTTCTCTGAATACAGGTTTCCTTCGTTGCCTCACATTAAAGGTTACAATTAGTTCCCAACAGGTGCATGTGGATTTTCATGTGTGGAGGAAGGAGGGGCCACTGTTGAACCAAATTACATTGTGTGTACTAGCTGGGTATGTTCACTATTCACAGAATGGTAGGCTATTGTTGCCAGCAGGTGTTCAGTTAGACCAATGATTCTCAGCCTTTTTCCAGTCACGGCACCCATTAAAATCCTGCAGAATCTCAAGGCACCCCATTCTAAAATGTAAAAAAACGAAGCTAATAGTTTTACGTATTGCAGCAACATCCACACATGTAGGACCCTCCATGTTAGAGATGATTTATACTTTCAAAGCAAACACATTTTTTCACACTGATACTGACTAGTATTCCAGTGTTTCTCTTCTCCCTCAGTGTCTTTTCCTCACATAGCTAATGTGACCCCAGTGCTGATGGAGGGGGGCAGGGTAAGGCCAACCAAGGATGCTGTGCAGGTGTCTAGTGTCCTCCTTATCGACTGATGTTGTCATTGGTTGTTGGGATGCTGGAGGCTAGAAGGTTGTAATAATGAACAATGAAAATCTGTGACAGTGTATAACTAAAAGGCAGGCTTGTTCCACCCACTGGCATGTATACAATGTTTGGGTAATTTTTAGGCATTTTGCTAAAAATGATGGCACCCCAGGGTGACTGGACAACCCTGGTTGAAAAAGGAGTTAGAGTATTTGTGGATGGAGCAGGAGCCACTATTGGACCGAATTATATTGTGGGTGTCACAGCTGCTTCCGCCTCTCAGCCCCCTTGCTCTGTCCCTGCTCTCTCTGCCGTCTCTCATCCATGCCCCTCTCACCTCCTGCAGAGATGAAAGGCATTCCTAAGACAGGCTGGAGCCACACCAGCTCTGGCCCCCCCGCTTGCCTAAGCGACTAGAGGGCGTCCGACATCAGTTTAAGAAGCTGATGCCCGGTGCTCCCAGGGAATTCACTACTGTGTAGCTACTGAAGGAGCCCAAGCTGCGGCAGGGACCTTCATGGCCAGGCTCTGCAGAGACCCAAGCCTTGCCAGGACCCCCCCCCCCCCCCCCCAGAGCAGGGGAAGACTGTTTGATAGCCACCAGAGATTCGTGAGTACATGCTCTCTCCCTGCTTCACTTGAACTGTTCCTGTGCTGACCCCACACCACCCCCCTGTTGGATTACAATTGCTACAAGAACTCTTGCTTGGCTCTCGGTGTTGGACTTTAAGTGTGTTGGTCCCTCCTTGTCGCCCTTTACTGGCATATTCATCCTCCCTGCAAACTTCCCTATTCAGTGACTGTCATCTGTTTGCCTCAATAAAGCTTTGTGCGTTTGCCATCTACTCTATGTGTCCTGTCCTGTCTACCCTCCGTCACAGTGGGCTTCAGCTATATCTGTCAACAGCACATAGAGCAAATGGAAGTATGGCATGAGAGGTAGGCTTCAGTTACTACTCTGGGCTTAAAGGAGTAGTATGGTCAAAACCTTTTTGGTCCTACTTCTCCTGTGGGTCACATGAGTGTACTTAGTTCTGCACTCCTGTGATCCAGATTCAGCTGACAGTGGGTTAAAGCCCGCTGTCGGCTGACATCTCAGAGCCAGTCTAGGCTCTACAGGGTTCCTGACAACAACGTCGGGATCCACCCAGATGTCTGACCAGCAGCTGGCTCAGCATCTCAGCATGCCACTGAAAGCCTGAGCCACAGTCTGGCGCTCCAGGGAGTACTGAAGGGGCAGAGCAGAGAGCAGTGGCTGACAGTCACCGCTTTGCGCTCAGGCTGGACCCTAGAACTGTGCAGTCAACGGTCTTTAATCGGTCAGTTTTTGGTGTATAGCTGGCGGGGTACAGGTGCAGCATCAGATCAATGATGAATCCACCTAGCTGAGGATGAATGTTTATTTTTTTAACTGCCGCACTTCTCTCTTAGGGCTGGTTCACACCAAATGCAGTCAAGTGCATTTTTATTCTGCATCAAAAATGCATGGACAGTGTTTAACATGGATCCCAATTGGACTAGTTCACACCAGTGCAGTGTGTTCCATTCCAGTCAACTCAATTAGAACATGTTGCATTTTTTCTGTGTGAAACACATCTGGAACATGGCAGAATGCATCAAAAATGCACTAGAACGCACATGTCCTCAACTGAGTTGAAGAAAAAAAAGAGGGGAAAAACACCCTAGAAAGCATCAAAAATGCACATGCAGAAACACATTAGAATGCAGAAATTGTAGTATGAGCTGGCCCTGGAACAGCAAAGTATCGCTTAAACAGTACATCTCAAAACACAGACACAGATTAATGGTATTTGAAATAAATACTTTGTCACTCAAAATTATATGCTGTCTTGAGTTTTGTTATAAATGTATAGTATTTGTTACTGACCCAAGAGTACCCACATAAGAAAGGCTTTGGGTCAATGAAGTTTTTTTACCTTCATGCAAAGAATGCATGAAGATAAAAAAAAATTCGGCCTTTAGAACCACTTTAATGAAGGCACCTACATACTAATATCAAGTCACATTTTCAGAAACCCAGCTTGATGCTCTATGCGCCAAATTCATATTTGCCCTGATCTACCTCTATGGGGGACTGAGGCTATCATGTACAGATCTGGCTATCAATTAATTGCTGTGTTTATCTGTGCTGCGTGTGCATGACAACTTCAGTTCATTACATATAGTACTGTATATGGACTGTTCATCGTGTGCTGGTGTCTTTAGTAGCATATCAAACTACCATGTGCTAAGCTGCTTCTTGGAAAATGAGGGCTGGTTACATCTGAATTATCCCCAAGGGACTGTCATTGTTATTTAACCAAGCTGTGAAAAACACTGTTACCCTGAGCTGACAGATTTAAATTGAGTAAGGTCACATCAATAAAATATCATATATAATTGGTTGCTGTGTGTTACTTAATTAATGTTTATGCTGTCTTTCTAAATATACAGTAATTATTTCATCTAGCCAGATTCTTCAATTTTTATTAAACCTTGCAGGTGGAATCCAGCTGATTGATAGAGAAGCAAAGATATGTTTGATTTCTTTTTTAGGGCTGGTTCACACCAGGTGCATTGGGACTGTGCTGGGAAGTTTTGCCCAGTACAGTACCAACAAAAGACAAGGCAAAAAGTCATGTTCCCTATCAAGCAAGTTTTGCAGTAGTTTGCATTGGAAAAAATTGTATAATTTTGTATTTTCTTTTCATCATAGCATAGTGCCACCCACTAACTCACTCACTTCCCAAGAGATCGCCAATCAGTTCCAAATTTGCAATTTATAATGAAATCTCTAGTCTACAGATAATTCCCCCACTTAACACCCCATGTCCACAGGTACGCTCAACACTACCCTTATTCAACCCTGCTACTACAGACGAGATTGCTAAAATTCTATCTAATGCCCACTTAACCACTTGTCCCCTGGACCCTATTCCCTCTCAAATACTGCAGCCACACTCTGGCTCTATCCTACACTCTCTAACTCACATCTTCAATCTCTCCCTCTCTTCTGGCACCTTTCCCAACACTCTAAAATATGCACCAGTCACCCCCATACTTAAA